ACTTATTTTTTATTATTTAAAACTGCATAAGAATAATTATAACTTACTGTAATATTTCAATCGATATTCTTGATATCTCAGCAATAGCAGCAATTTTACATAATAAAAAAAAAGTAAATATTTATAATTAATAATCTATTTTAATATCATTATTAACTAAATAGTTTAAATAAAAATTAAATATTAGTAAATTTTTGAAAAAAGTTTCAATGATTTAAATGCTATAATACATAATAACGTTAAGTTTATATTAATACTTGTACTTTTTAATTTGAAATAGTTTATCATATATTTCAAAAAAAAACAAGAGATTATGCAGTGATTGTTTTTTGAAATTTGAATTTGACAGATTGGAATAAAAAAATTTTTTGTAATACTCAAAAATAAAACACAGAAAAAACACAAAGTAGTATTTTCAAATCTTATAATTTGAAATAGTTATTATTTTTTTTTTGAAGTTAACATTGAATAAAACTGAATGTATAATAGTTGTCTTTGTCCTATGACCAATCGAAATTTATTATACTAATAAATAGCCTGATAAAATAAAAATTTATAAAATTTTATCCTAATTTCTCATAAAATTCTTATTTATATACTTACTTGTTTCATTTAATCATAGAACTCTTCAAATTCAAAACCAACTTGATCATAATGATACGAGCCTAATCTTCATTCGAAATGCAACAAATTTAATTGAAGCTAAATATCCATCGTCAAATGTTACATTTGAAATTCAACCATCAAGTTGTAACATTGCTGGCCATCTAATGTATAGCCATTTGATTAAAATGTTATTTGCATTATATAATATTGAATATATTCGTCACAATCTAAATAAAAGCACATTCGATTCACTTTCTAGTAAAATTTTTTCGTATTAATTTTCATTTTATTGAAAATAATATTAATATAGTTCGATCAACTATTACAACAATCCGTCAGCATATTATTCAAATGCCTCAACTTTTTTTTTAAAACGAGATTTAACTGAATCTATGGGTTTACTTCGACGTTTTCCAACCGAGCTAGTTAATAGCGTGATTGATGAATTAATAAATTTCAATTAATACGGCAAGGAGGTAAATATATCATGGTTGTTAATACACTTCTATCAACTCTATAAAATACCTATACAATTTAATTGAGACGAAATTAATTTTTGTTTTATATATATTTAATTCAATAGCGTACATTAGTACTACATCACGCGGTGTAGTTCATATGAAATCATACCCATCTGATACAATGTTAAATGATCCAATTAAATGAAATATGATCAATCAGTTATTATCTGAAATAAAAATGGATTTAACAAGTTACATGTCATTACTATGCAACAGTATTATAAAAGATAAGCAAGTATTAACAAAAAATGGTTTAGAAATGTTATTACTTCCTGAACATAAATTATTATATGAAAAGTTAAAAGGAAAATATCTAACTCGTAACTTGCACAGTATGTATTAAAAACTCATTATTTAATATGCTTCCGATGAAAATAAATATTGAATGATCTTTTTTGTATAACATTTATTTTTATATAGCTACAATAATGTCGAATGATATCAATGACTCAAACAACTCCAACAATCGTTTATTATATGTTGATATAATAACCGATCAATCACCAAACTGTCAAATACATCGTATTATAAAAATTCATTCTTTTCTATTCATGTAATATGCATTTGTTTTTTTTAAAAGAAAATGCATCTGTATCTATTGATCATAATGTTCTTGAATTTCGTAATTTTTCAAATCACTTATGCACACAATCATATGTTAATAATAATATTAATCAACTTTCTAATACATCACTTTGTAATAGTAGTAATATATCGTCATTAATAAGTATTGCTCTTTTACATGCCATCCTTAATAAATACTAGAATGAATATAATGAAATAACTATTTTTAGACTGTTCAAACTTAAATACCAATCAACCAAATTCAAATAATGACACAGTGCTAACGATTGGAATAAATAATAAACCATTTTCGAATAATAATATAAATTACCTACATCTATGCAAATCGATATTTTTTGTGCAAGGAATGGTAATATTGATCTTTTATAACATAATATCAAAACATGAGTTATATTTTAGAAAATGTATCTAGTGAAATTCTTGAAAATAATACCACTGTTAGAATGTTTGATGGTATTCTATTAAAAATTTTGTAAATTTTTCTATATGAAACTGCTTCTAATTATATATGTATTAGAATCAACTGATAATTTATTGAATTCACAACAACTTTTCAAGTCTATGCCCGATATTGTAGATAATTGAACACACTTAATTCTTAGCACAATACCAATCTCAAGTGGAAATCATCATGCAGGCAATCAAGCATCAAATATCCATATAGAACATTCATATTCTGAATCTAACGAAATCAAAACAAATACAATAATCAATACGACTCATTTACCATCTAGTGAAGGGTGTGGGTGTGGATGGGTGTGGGGTGTGGGTGTGGGTGTGTGAGTGTGGGTGGGGGTGGATGGGAGTGAGTGTGAGGGGGGGTGTCGGGGTGGCTGCCGGGGGCGGGGGCGGGGCAGGGG